GTACCAGAAGCCTAGAGCCATGACTAGGAAGTCGGCAGATTGAGAAAGCGCGTACGGGAGGAGCGCGAATGTCAGGCTCCTAATGACCTTTCTTGTGATAGCCTGGAGTGTATCGCTGTATTGGCGCATGATCGAGGTCTCGAGAGTCAGCATGCTGACCGTTCGAATGGATGTGACAGCCTCTGTCGCCAGTCCGGCACTGCCTGAGAATTGTTCTTCTGTAGCAGCCTCAAGCTTTTGATCTATTCGTATGCGATAGTAGCCGGCAGCCACAATGATGGTCAGTCCACCGAACACCAGGGTGAGCCCCAGCTTCCAGCCATAAGCTATACCTAGCGCACTGCTTGCTGTAATGTTGACCAGAATATTGAACATGAGCCCTAAATTCGCAGACATCAATTCTTGTAGCGCTGTAGGCGCAGACGACAACTTTGAGGTCAATGCGCCGGACGAGTTTTCCGGACGGTCAAAGAATTCCTGATCGAAGCTGATGACGCGCTCAATCATTTCTTTGCGATATCTGTGAGTTAAAGTCTGTCCAATACTGTTGCATGCAAGGCCAATTGCGAAATATGCGAAGAGATTGGCAAGAGCTAGCACGAAAAACATGAGCGCCCAAAAGTTGGCTTGCTCTTGTGCTTCAGACCCTTGCAGTGTGAAGACTCGGACGAGACGGGAGAAGATGATAGCTTGCGCTGGGTACGTACCACCGCCGATGATTCCACCAAGGATCGTGGCGGCGTACCAGTAGTAGAGATCGAAATTCTCTTTCAGCATGATCCAGATGCATTTGGTAAGAGAGTAGCCCAGGGTTCCAGCAGCAAGGTGCTCGACTTCGCGCTCAAGTTCTGTCGTGTTGTAATGCGATTGTGTTCGTTGCAAGGCAGCTTTGCGGTCCAGGCTATCTTCCACCTTCTCTGTGTCTAGCAGTTCTCTTTGAATATCCTCGTCGTTTGCCTTTGTACCAAGATCTTGCGCGCGTACCATTGCCGCATAGAGACCATCGCTTTCGATGAGTTCATGGTGTGTGCCCTGCTCGTAGATTTGACCATCTTTCATGACGACAATATTATCTGCCGCCATCACAGTGGCAAGCTTGTGAGCAATAATCAACGTGGTCTTGTTGATCGAAACGCGATTGAGTGCGCTCTGCACAACCTTTTCAGCGCGAGGGTCCAAGGCACTGGTTGCTTCGTCAAACAAGAGGATTCTTGGATTGGAAATAATACTTCGAGCAATAGCAATACGCTGTCGTTGACCGCCGCTGAGCATGCTTGCTCGCTCTCCGACTTGGGTATGGTAGCCTTGCGGTAGCGCTTCGATGAAGTCATGTGCATTGCTGTTCTTACACGCTTCTTGTACGAGCTCCATCTGCTTTTCCGCTGGTAGATCTTTTTGGTCTCCTATCAGGCCTTTGACGATGTTTTCGAAGATTGTGCCTTGAAACAAGGTCGGCTCCTGCTGAATGAGGCGGATATTGGACCGCAACCACTTTGTGTTGTATTCGGAAATATCTCGACCATCAAGCAAGATCTGGCCAGAAGTAGGCTTGTACCACCGCTCAAGTAGACCGACTAGGGTCGATTTGCCGCACCCACTGGGTCCAACCAAAGCCGTTGTTTTTCCAGCGGGAATCGAGAGGCTGAGACCCCGCAGAACTTGGGCGCTTGGTCGGGTAGGGTACACAAAACGCAAATCGTTGACAATGATTTCTCCGTTACAGCTGGGTGGCTGCATGCCTTCGGTCGAGAGAGGATCAAGGGATGAAGGACTGTCGATGATAAGGAATAATTCGCCCGCCGCTGAGGAAGCGTTGGTAAAGGCCTGGAATTGGGGGAAGATGAGTAATGTTGCAGTAGCACCGAGCACAACACTCAGGACGACGGTGAACACTGTGCCCACATCACCAATCTCCCCACTTTGAAACATGCGAAACCCTTGCCAGAAGGCCAGCGAAGTACCCGACATGACCAGGAAGGTTTGACCGGAGAAGAGTACACCGTAGATGACGGATTTTTTGTTACCTTCCTTGTGCGCCTTTTGCAGGTAAGTCTCGTAACCGTCGATAATCTTCTGATGGGCTCCGAAGGCGTGGATAGTTCGGATCGAGCTGATCGCGTCCTGCGCCAGAGTACCAGCTTGTGAGTAGATTTTGGTCTGTGCAGCAATTGTTACTTGAAGGCGTCAGATCGAAAGAGATGTGGCTACTCACCACTCTAGCTTCGATAGGCGCATCTAGGCCTATGCATACCCCAGTGATCAAGAAGATGGCAGGTATTATGCTCATCACGATCAGAGCGAGCTTCCATTGAACAGCAAGTGCTACGATGAAACCAGAGAAAAAGAGTGAGATGCCTTGGACGCAGGTAAACAGCTTTTCCGCTATGCCTTGATTAATCCTGTTGCCATCTAGGCCGCGCTGTCAGCAATAATACCACGACTTTCATATTGAGATTCTTACTTGTAGTCACCTGAGTTGCGGCAGATCCACTGCCGCCCTTGTCGAAATGCGCTACGTCTTGACGGAGCAACTTGTCCAGGAAGTCTTCCCGCAAAGCGCATGTCGTCCTGGCTGCGGCGATGCATATGCACAGAGTACCTAGGTAGCCAATAACGAAACGGGCAACAAATATGTATACAAAGTAGAGCACCAAGGTGTTGATGTTGCTAGTAAAAGTAGAACTGTCCTGACCAGTTGCCTGTTGATTGAATTCTGCTGTCGATTGGCCAAAGACAAGAGTCATCAAAGGGAGGGCAGCACCGACAACGACAGCACCGGTGAGTCCAAGAGAATAAAGTACGCGATCCGCAGTACTGGCATATGTGAAGATGCGCTGTGAGAATAGACAAATCAGCTTGCACCCCTCAAATTCGACCTGATCTCTGACTTACGAAGTAGTCTTTCAGACTTCCCTCTTTCTCTTCTTCTGTCTCTTTTTCCTCTGAGTCCCTGTTTGATTCTTTGCCGTCAACAGCAGCAGCCTTTTCTGCGTCGATCTTGTCTGGTATGTCGATCGCAGCCAACGGTCTTTCTGTTGTCCCCTCCATGGTGTCAGAGCTATGGCGAGTTATTGAGGGAGCGTTCTGGTAGTCCACCATCGTTGGCGATGCATGAGCGACGTATGTGCATCGTTGTAATAGAGAGCGCGTGTTATTTGATGGATGCGATAGGCATGCACAACGCGTCTATGGCTTCGCGTGCGGCTCGCGAGACGGACGTCTAGGATCCCGGTGTGCGGTACCAAGGCGGCGCAACCACCCGTTAGCATAACAGAACGTCATGACATCTCTGCGCTACCAATCAGGATTGTACTTAAGTTGCGAGTGACGCCCCACGCGCGCAACACTTGGATTGGATACTAGCTGTTGAGGCTGATATCCAATTTCCTTTTCCAGCGTTGGCGAGGAGCGCACTGATGATGGAGCCAGTTTGGCAATAAATACGATGTACGAGTCGCGCGCGCTGATGCCCGAAACCCCGAGGATACCTAGGTACCTGGCGTTTGGAGAGTTATATTCTACAAAACCAGTGATTCTAAGCACATACGACCATAGGACACTGAAAATTAGGCTTCCCGTCCGCTCAGCCATATACAAGCAGTGTACCGGCGGATTAGTAGTTAGGTGGGTGACCACTAGCGAATCCCCGCTGTTGTATGTTTTTTTGGACTTTTTTGACCACCTTTCCGTCTTCTTCTGTAGCAGCTCGTCTATCCCAAAGCGTTCACTTACTCGCTCGAGGTGTCCTCGTCGAATCCAGTTTTCTGCAACATATAGTGTATGAAACATCCGTACATTGGGACACAAGTTCAATTCAATAGCTGTTTGAAGAAATAGCTGCCTTAGAAGCTGACGCAACACCAAGAGCCGGTTTCGCAAACCGTCATTACATCCTCCTGATACAACGCATCCGGCAGTTTCGTGACAAGCAGTGCTTCAATCGATAGGACATCGTGTATTCGCTCATCTCCATTGCTGACTCTAGGACATCCGTGACCCAGGTATCGTTGGTTACAACTGTACCTTTGCCGAGCTCGCCAACATCGCTTGAAAGCGAACTACGATCGTGGTATATGCCTTTGCCAAGCATACATGGTCAGTCACGGTCTGCTGCTGGATCGGAATCGAAGTAATTGTGAGCATCATGATCCAAATATCGAATCGCAAGGACTTTACGGGGGCCTTGGGATTATCGATTTACACCACCAGCTTGTGTAGTGGCGGCAGTGCTTGAATCACCACCTGGGCGTCATCTTGCTCCAACCAGTAATTACCTAGGGAGGCTCACCACAATATCAGATCCGCGTTTGTGTTCTGCTTATCTTGCAAGCACGAAATCGGTCGCTCAGTAGACACCCATGAGCAAACCTACAATACACTATTAGGGCACTGATTTTTATCTCCGGAAGTAGCGCAAAGTCGAAAGGCACTATTTGTACTGGCTACTTTCAAGGTATTGATAGCTGCAGGTGTAGCCTTAATAAGCTTTGTTGAAGGCAAAAGCAGCGTAGTAAAGCTACCTAGGTAGTAGTAGTGGTTAGTGGGGCAGAGCCGGCACACCGCCGTCCGACACGGTACCAGTCGGAAGCATCAGCATCAAGCTTGCGACGCTCAACCTCTCCACGCGTCTTCTCCAACAAGGTTTCTTTCGGAACTTATAGCCTGGGCCCAATCGTGGACTACCATAGTTTACCAGCTTCGAATAGAAGACTTGCAAATAACAGTCAATGGGCAGTATTCCGAATAGCGTCATCAAATAATCTTCAGTCTCAACTTGCAGTCGCGGCGCGCTTTGGGTCAGCGACAGGTAAAGGGAGCATATCATGTGCACTATCTCTGTTTGTTAGCACAGAGCGATCACTGCTTCAATGTATGCGGTTTACATATCAAGGCTGGAAGGAAACGTGCTCAATTAACTTGCTCAATTTCACTCCACCCACACAGTTTCTTCTTGTTTCTATCCCAAGTTGGCGAAAATTCCAGATTGTGCATACAACATAATGGGCCGTTTCCCTGTCCTCTTGTCCCTCTTTGTTAGCGTAGTGTTTGCTGCACCGAGCGAGGACTCGAAGCAAACATGCTACTCCCAATTGGATGGCAAGTTGCCGTCTTTTACTCCGTCGAATTTCCACTTTAGTGGCAACGTAAGGAGGTACTACATTGCCGCGGAGGAGCTTGAGTGGGACTATGCGCCTACAGGGTGGGATAACTGGTTAGGTGTATGGATCGAATTCTTATGCGTGGAGACCTTTCATATTGACTCACATTACTTAGGTCCCTTTCAACCTCTCAGCAAAAGCCCAGTATTCAGGGTACACTCACTATGGCACCAAATGGCTCAAAGCGCTGTATCGCGGATACACCAACGCCTCTTTCAGCGAGAGGACGCTTCAGCCCCCATTCCAAGGCAGCCAGGGACCGACTATCCGTGCTGAAGTAGGCGATCTGATTGAGATCCTGTTTGTCAATAAATTGAAAAATCACTACGCGACCATGCATTCCATGGGACTCGCATACACCAAGCCGTACGAGGGCTCAGACTATCCAAATAACACAATGCCCGGCGTCGGTAACACGCTACCGATAGCAGACTACGGGCCGCCGATGCTGGGGCCAGAAGATTGTATCGTATACAAATGGATGGTGAACGATGAAGCGGGACCGAGTGATGGGCTTCCGGCAAAGGTATATCTCAAACTAATGTTCTTGAATTCACTTATGAGATATCTAATAAAGGATACTAGATTCATTCATACCATTCATACGTCTCTCTCGAGCAAGACGCCAACGCAGGCCTTATTGGTCCCACAATTATTTACGCTAATGGTAAGATGAACGAAACAGTGGCGTCGTACCGCGAATTCCCCATTCTGTACAACAGCTACGATGAGGATCAGTCATTCCTCTCCGGCGTAAACAAAGCTCGGCTTGAAGGTGGCGGCTCTGCACAGTACATCATGCCGCAATTCGACACGACGGGCCTGCCTGACGCGAACATGACAGTGTGGAAGCCGCAATTGACGAATTTCGAGAGTGGGAGACAGTTTGATGGTGCACCTATTTTCTTCGCTGTCAACGGGTTCGTGTATGCGAACAATCCATTATTCGAGATGTGTGTGGGCGATAACGTATGTATCTACCTCTTCGACTTCGTATCGCCGACCTATCATACTGATTCTCTGAACAGATAATCTGGGGTTCGAATGCGTATGGATCGGCTAGCCATGTGTAAGTTTCATCTTTGCTACACTCTCTATAACTATGCCATCTCTTTCCTCTTGATACGTGCAAACACAATCGTGCGTAGAAAGGATACTAGCTAACAGTATTCTCTTCCATACAAATAGATTCCATATGCACGGTAATGGCGTCGTTTATCAGCGCTTCCATGAATACGCTCAGAGTATCAACGACGGCGTAGGAAAGACACTGTACTCGAAGGCAGTTGGCGAGGGCCAATGGCAGGTCATTTGCCATGTACAGAATCACAACACCAAAGGCATGGTGGCAAACTATCGGGTTTACCCAAAGGACAACTGCCCTTTAGCACCACTGAAACCGCTAAGGGAGTAGCATAGTGACAGAACTAGGGATGTGCTTATAGCTTGACTTGGTATTGCCCCGGCCTCTCAGTATAGTAAAGGATATCTTAACATGGGGTGCTTAGCGACCTGAAATTAAGCCTTTGGTACAATCTCCTTATTCTCCATCTATTTACCTCTCCAAGCCTCGCTGACCAGGTCTCGAATCTTCCTTGTCGTTATCTCCGGGAATTGATCATTCAAAGAGTTCTCTGGCTTCAAGTCGAAGAAGCCCTCCTCAAACAAGATGCCAAACACTGCGCACATACCCTGCAGCATCTGCTTCGGAAAGTATGGGTACATTGGTGGATGAGCAGGCAGCTCGGTGACTTGGTATGATCTGAGCTTCTCCAGCGAATCATATGTGGTCTCGAACTTTGTTCCCCTTGCCTCCTCAGCAATAGCGAGAAATTCGTTCAGCGTGATCTTGTCACCAATGATGTACGACTCTTTCTCCCAGGATGTTTGGCCAAGAAGAGCAGCCACGAATCTGCCGATGTCGAAACTGTAGGTGAACACAACAGGAACATTACCCGACCCTGGAATAGCAGCAGCCTTGTTGGCGATATCGATGGCCAGCGTCAGACCTGTGAGGTATGATTTGACATATGGCTCTACATAATAGTCCAGGAAAAAGCCGTTGATGACACATGTGTACTGCAATGACGTCTTTTCCAGGGCGTCAAGATAAGCAATCTTTCCTTTGGCTATCGAGAAGATTTCAGCAACCCTGTATGTTGTCAAAACGATAAGATCAGTGATCAGTGGTATACGTAGTTCACTCACTCAGGCGTGTACTTGATTCCCCATGTGCTTGGAATGTAGCGTTGTGTGATGCCGGATTTGTTGGCAGCCTCGATGAGGGCCATCTCAGGGTCGGTGCCTGACATTGATCCAAGTGTCGAGATCACTGTATCGATACGATTCTCTTCCAAGGTTCTGGCGATGGAATCTGGTTTCGTGTAATCAACGGCGATTACCTTCGCGTCCGTCCCCTGGAGTTTTGCATCTCCGGTCGCCTATGCAAATGTCAGTACTTATGGTGTATAGCAATGCAGTATGAACTTACGTCTCGGGAGAGCACGAATACAGTAAACCCACCCGCTTTGATGATGGATTCGACAATAACACGCCCAAGCTTACCAGAACCTCCAGCTACTGCAACGACAGTTGAACTCATCTTGATACCTTGCAAAAAGTCGCAAAATCTTTTTGACTGCTTTGGATAAATTCTTGTAGTGAAACACTAGGGCTATATAATATCTCAACAACAGTCCGTCATGAATAATGATACCTGTAGGGCTTTGTGAGGGGTAGTCGATGCGTGCTAGCGGAGAATATGTAAACTAGCGGACTTTCGACCCTAGTCCATCTCTAATGCACCGACCTCAATCGTGTCGTAGCTTATCGATACCTCCCGTGGTCTGCACCGCCAACGAGAGAAGGTGAGTCTCCAATCACGTACCACGAAATTACCTAGATTGCTGGAGCTGGAGCTAGAGCTGGAGTGGTTGAAAGTGTCGTCGGTGCACAGCACACTCGCTCCAGTAACACCTCAACCACTGTCTTCTTTGCCAACCAAGCAGTCTGGTGTTTCAAGATAGGACCGAATATGACTGCAAATGCGGAAACAATTACTAAGATGCAGCCAGCTCCGGACCGCAAGTTGTAGTGCGCGGATCCTCGGATCGTCTAGTAGCCGCATAAACACCGAACTGTAACCAATCGAGAAACAGAAGGTTACACTAGTAGCTTCTCGATATGATTGAAAGCGCTCCAGTCCGCACGTTCGACGTCGCGTTGCATTGGCAGAGCGAACATCGTTATCTGTATTCGTCCGTTGATTGTAAACCGACAGCGACGATTGCAAATGCGGCACGGAAGTGTTCCGTTGAACGCGTAGATTATACAGAACATTTATCAGCCAATTATGACGAATCAGAGTATGCTATTTCAAAGTTCAGTCTCATAGAGCTGGTGTATAGATATTCGAGTCCACACGCGATGTGGTTCATCAAGTTCAAGCCGTACGAACCGACTTGTTATCATCATCAACAACAACAGACTGGTCATCTTCCCTCTTTCTCTTCCTAGCTTTGCTTTTTTCCCTTTCCTTCGCGTCTCTCTTTTGTCGTCTCTCAGCCTCCATCCTCTTATCGACTTCTCTTTTGACATACTCTTCCAGAAAAGGCTTTAGTCCACCCCAGATTCTCTGCTCATACGCGGAATGCTGGAACTCGATACACAACCATTCTAACGCTCTGAGCTCCTCTATGCCTCCATAAATGTCCAGAGCGGCGCGCTCATAGACTTTCTTGTTGGTTTCGCTCGCCTCTGCATATGCCTTTTCAAAACTATCGATAATGGGCCGGACCGAAGTAGGTGGTATAAGCGTGACGTTACCTTCGTGGTCTCCAGTCCCGATAGTAATGCACGTATAGTCGCCTAGTTTTATCTCATCAAAGTCGCGATCCGCGCCGTATAGGAGACACTCCTTGCCTTCGATGGGGAATAGGGTATAATCCAGATCGACCATCCAGCGTCCCTCAGTGTTTACGTCCTCGGTACTAAAGAAAAGGTCTTCATCGATCCCGTTACTTGCGCGCAGGAAGTCTTTGTATTCATCTGGAAGGTTTCCACTCGGCAGCGCGACATCTGTATCATCAAGGCCGCCTTCTGCATGCGATGCCGACAGACGTTTCTCGAGAGCGGCAATCTGATCTTCTGATGCGCCACTATTCAGGACGGGAGATGTTTCGTCTTCACCGTTATCGGCACGTTCGGCAAGGACATTTTCTTCGATCATCTGCACCAGCTCGGCCATCGTTTTCGAACTGTATAGGCGCATGGGTCCTTCAGTAGAGCGCTGTTTGAAGAGGGTGCCTAAAGGTACGTGTACGGAGTCAGTGTATGTCTTACATGCAGTTCGTACAGGAATATTTCTCACAACCCTCTTTCACATAGTCTTCCACGTCAGATATGCGCACACCGAATACTTCTCCGAGATCTAATTCTCTGAGCGTTTCCCATATTACGTCGCAATGCTGCAAGCCCTGGCGACGCTCTAGCCATTGCCTCGTCTCGTCCCCACTTATGTCTGGGTTATTGAAATTGTCTAACAGGTACTGGTAGAACTCTTTCATATTCTTTTCGATCAAGCTAGTGGCTAAATCTTCCTCGCCTGCAAGGTGCGCGACCTGTGCGACAGCACCAAGCGTCATCGATTCTTCCGGAATACTATAGGTAGCATCTGGCTTTGCGTTGAGGCGCTCACATGCGAACTTGACATCTTCTTTATTCAACTCATGCTCTTCGGCTTTCACTGTTAAATCCTTAGGTAAGCCCGTGGTAGATATGCAGTCCATGTCTTCATCGCCCGCTTCGTGTGCCCATGAAGGAAAAGAATCGCTAGCTCCCCAAGCTCCTGTCAATTGCCTTGAGATAGTCGCTCCGTAATAGTCCTTGGTTTTTGTGTCGATACCATACTCATGGACTGTCTCGAGTAACATGAAGGCTTGTTCAGCAAATCCTAGTACGAAAAGGTCCAGTGCAGCCTGTTGTGCTATTCTCGAGGCATCCAGATGCATACGAGATGTGAGAATCGAAGTCTTCGACCAGGGTATAAGTGGTAAAGGGGTTGTCATGACGGTAGAAGCTGTGTTTCTGATGTGGCGCGAAGGAGTGAAGAACTGGCTCCTCGAAATCGACCGACTTATATGTGGAATCTATAAGCCCTTTTCGGATTGCTATTAGCATCTATGCAGCGGTTTTGCGGTGTTGAGACTAGCTGCTAGGCTGCAAGGCTGCAAGCACCACCTACGTAGGTGCGATGACATCATGCATGAGCTAGTCGAGACACGACTTTAGTGAGTCTCCAAAGCGACCGGGAATGCATAGAAGAGCTACAGGCACACCGGCTGATGTATCAATCTTGTCGCAATCATGTACAGAAGACATGTCGGTAATTCAGCAAGGCTTCGATGCGGAGTAGCTAGGACCTCCGGAAGTAGTCTGAGCTCGCACGGTTCGGATAAGGTAGCGAGCGGCAGATCTGTAGGGCTGGCTTCCCTTACTGTACACGCTGCAGAGTAGCACCAATTGGAGTGTCTTAAATGGGGCAGAATCCAACGGAACGGTCAAGAAGCGGCCATGGAAGGCTTCTCCACGGAGTTTGTACCCTGAGAAGTCTCGGGCTTTCGCGTCGCCGCGCGATTTAATTGCATCTGCCGCCTGGGCAGCAAGTGCCAATGTCGGAGGTTCCGTTGATCTTGCTGATGAAAGGTTTACCTTTTCGCAAACGCTATAGCACCTTGCCCAAAGAAGGCACTTGCCACATCACATGACGTGCTGAGAAATCAGGGACAGCCCCAACTTCGGCCCGTGAGGCGCAGCGGCTAGTGGGGTCGGGGTGCCACAACTCGGCAGCTTTGGATTCGTCCGTTAGCAAGTTGATAAACCCTGAGCTATCACGATCCTAATTGATCCTCCTGAAGGGTAGCAGCAAATATGCAGGCCCAGAAGGACAGTCGCGCGACAACATCTTGCACTGAATGTCAGCGCCGGAAGCAAAAGGTCAGCCCCCACCCCAGATCGACCCTGCGTCTACCCCTTGACTAACGGGAAGGCTAGTGCTCGCGAGAGTGGCCCTGCAATCATTGCCAGGCACGAAAGGTACCCCATCTCTGTCAGTTCTCCGTCAAAAGAGGGCAAACGGAGTCATCCCCAGAGTCTGCTCGGTATGTTGATCACCTTGTCTACCCCGCCGTTAGTGGAACATGGTAGTAACAACTATGGCGCAGAGAAAACTCGTCTGGCAGCACCACCAAGGGCACAAAAAGGAGTGCTCCCGATTCTGCAGAGCCACAATTTCCATCGCAGTCGCAAGATGGCGAGCCAGAAGACCTCGAGGACGGGCTAAAAGCGTGGGGATACATGCCCGGCCATGTTCACTACAAAGTCAGCACGGTGGAAGAGGTAAGCAGACCTAGTAAA